TATGTTATGTTATGTTATGTTATGTTATGTTATGTTATGTTATGTTATGTATGTATGTATGTATGTATGTTTTTTTCCTAAAGGCTTTTGTTCCTGCAGAACGAGAGAGGTTCTTTGACCTTGGCCGCTCGGCTGCCAGCTGCTTGGAGGTGGTGCTGCAGCTAGAAGAAGTCGACTTCGAGCACAGGATCGACAGCTGTCTCACTTTCCGAATCTTCTCTGTAAGAAGCAGGAGTTCGTGACCTGCTTCTTTTGGAAGCATTGGGCAGCAATGCCGGCGGTGCATGTGGCATTTGCCAAGGTTGTTGACTTGCAGGCTGGGTTTCATGGCCTGTGGCGCCGAGACTGACGCTGTTTTGGTGGACAGGATTTGCATCCTCCTGTCTGGTGGTCACTTCACTGTAGTGAAGTTGCCTTGGAGCCAATGGTGACAGGCTGGTATGAGCGGGAGCTGCTACCAGAAGGCCCAGAGGTGGCTGGGTGTCATGGCCTGCCTGGGTCTTGCTTGTGGTGACAGACGTAGGTGTGGCCTGCTCTCCTTGTGTGAGATCAGGCTGGCCAGCTTGTCGGGCTGTTGCAGTTTGTCTTTTGAAGAACTCTGACAAAGGCGGGGAGGCAGCAATGGGCGCCCCTTTACAGCTCTTCTGCAAGGTGGCAGTAGCAATGGGCCGGCCGTGAGCATCTGTGTGCGTTTGGGTGCCACAATGCTTGCAATGGATTTTATCTCCTCTTTGCCAAAGGAGATGGGTGGAGTGTCCACTGTGTGCATGCTCAAAAGGTTGGTTGACACATGCGCCCTGCACATAGGGGCATCAACGAAAGCTCAAGCTCCGCAGCCTCAAGCTCCCCTCTTTGCGAGTCAGACTCAGGTTGCATAAAGGAGGCATCCAGCCAGTTGCATTATGGGGCATCGAAGCACAAGGCCTTGCCCCCAGATACAGACTTGCGCTAAGAACTGCACTGGCAAAACAGCTCGGCCACCATCATGGAGGAACACTAGATGCCACCTTTGACCTCCACAGCAACAAGTACCTTGATCCGGCAGACCAGGTCATTATCCACCACATCAAAGCCCTCCACACGCTTTACCATGCTTGGCCAACCGACCAGCTTGAGCATCTTGAGCAGGCATGGACTTGCATCTACCAGCAACTGAGCACCAAATCACATCCTTGGTACACAGTCAAAGGCCCAATGGCAGCTACCATTGCCTACCTCCTTGAGTGGCAATGGCAAGCACCCACTTTGCACCAATGGACAAGACCAGAAACGGCCTACATGGCAGCGAATGACCTCAGCATCCGGCAGCCATGGTGGCAAATTGAGAAGAAGCTCTTGAAGGAAGCCACCAGCCAGCGAACATCCAGATTGGCCCAGAGGCAGTACCACCAGCACTTGGTGGCAAGACTGGACTGGCACGTATTCCGTCAGCTCATCAACAAACTGCCCAAAGAGCATAGAACCTTCCTCCGCACCTGGGTCCAAGGAGCCATCCACTACCGAGAGAATGGCAAACCCAAACAGTGTCCAGTCTGTGCAGTTCCAGCAACTCCCAAACACATAGTCTGGCTGTGCAAGTGGCACAAAGGCAAAGGCCACAAACCCATGCCTCCTGAATGGGCAGAGAGGCTGACTCAGCATGATGAAGACCCTTTGTGGAATGCAGGCTGGATTCCGTTGGAGCCACAAGACCAACTGACCATGCATCATCCATATCAGGGCCATGGGGTATGGCAAGGCCTGCAGATGCTCCAGGCACACCAGCACCAGGGGTGGGCGTTCACCCTCGACGCCAC